CATGCAGATCCTGGGGTTATTTGACCAAAATTGTCCACGTTGGTCAACGCAGATTGAATGCTTGGAGCATAGACTTTTAAGCAAGGTATAGTAGAATGGGTTTTGCTGCAGTGCCCTCTGCTGTCCACCACGCAGCCCTGCAAGTGGGGATGAGTTTGGTGGGATCGGGGAGGTGGGCCTTCATTGATGGGTGTGGTGGGCCAGAGCAGTAACCCCGATTTGGTTTTAGAGGCTCAAGAAGGCTACCCAATCTCGTCACAGTGGCGAGATGTTAACTACCTCGCCTGGTATGGGGCCATCCATTTAGTACTTCCGCATGGAGAGGGAGGGGGGGTTAACCCAAATGCGTACGCTTGCGTATGGGGGGGTCTACTGACAATGTACGCAGAGGAAACGGGGGGGGGGGGTTCAGCCTCGATAATAATTTGTCTACGTTGGCCTTCAAATGAGTTAGATAGTCCGGCGGTGGACTATCTGTTTGCTTAAACACGTCAATATTATTAATCCTTCATCGTTTCTGCGTGGATTAAATATCGGCCGTTCTATAGAATTTGGGGGGAGGGGGTACGCAGGTGGGGGGGCGGGTGTAAAAAGTACACGTGCGTACAGGGAAAGAGGGAGGGGTCAAGTTTTGACAGATTTTTGCTTATGCACTAAATGTATGGCCCCTATAAGGAAGTTCGTGGGTTCGATCCCGACCCTGACTCGTGCATATTTGGAATGTTCATGTTCTCCTGGTGGTCGTGTGCATTTTTCTCCGAGTCCTCTGGTTTTTCTCCGGGTCCTCCCGTTTTCCCCTCCACATTTAAAAACATACGTTTAGAGTATTTGGCTGCGATACATTTCCACATGATAAGCCACTTCGTTGAGCTATCATTTGTGGCCAGGTTACTTCTGAAACAGAGATACATAGCTCAGTGAGCCTTACCTGATAAAAAAAAATAGTTTCGTTTCAATGGTTGCTGATCAACTCTCCGTCATACAAAAGAAGAAAAAAACAGGGTCAGAACTTAGGGGTCAGCAGTGTGCAGCTCTCTCATCACCGTGGCCTCCTCGTCCGTGACGTGGGCCTCCCCATTGCTCTGTTGGCCGCCCTGCTCTGGCTCCAGCTTGTGCGCATACGAGGGGTCTCCCTGGAAGCGGGCACGCAAGTCGGGCACCTCTGCGCTCTGCACCAGCAGCTGCCACTTCAGTCCGTCCAGACTGCAAGGCGCAGGTGTGCATACACATTGCATTGTTAATTAACTTCATTGATCATTCGTTCAATCAATCGTTAAATCAGTTCAACCCCAAATAATTAAGTCAGATGACGGCCCAATGAGACGAAGTATGCGGTTTAAAATGCACGCCTTGGATCATTAGAAAGTACTCTGATAATTGGTGGAATATTGATGAAGAATCTTGTGAGAGACTGTGATGTTGGAAATAAGTAATGGGAGAACGATGAGGCCATGATGTGAGTATTGTTTAGAGGTAGTTATGAAAGGTTATTCTGCAAAGATCCGTAACCCTAATAACGTTAACCCTATCTCTATCTTCCCCACCTGTACCATGCTTCTGATTTACACTCGAATGCTAACCCCAAACAATTGAAATAACACGAACGCCAGCACGCCCCAGTCATCTATACAGCACGCTCCTGCCCTAACCCTGACCGCCTATCCCCTCTTTTCCTCGCCGGCACAGCGTATTCCTGCACTAACCCTCACCCTGACCTTCTTTATCTCTCTTCCTCACCTGCACCAACTGAGCCTCCTCTCCCTCCTCAACTGTGGAGCGTGGTCTTGCATTCTCTGAGACCCCTCTCCACTCTCCACTACTCACCTGTACAACACGGCTCCTGCACTATAACCCTGAGCCCCCCTCTCCACTCCCCACTACTCACCTGTACAACACGGCTCCTGCACTATAACCCTGAGTCCTCCTCTCTACTCTCCACTACTCACCTGTACAACACGGCTCCTGCACTATAACCCTGAGCCCCCCTCTCTACTCCACACTGCTCACCTGTCCAGCACGGCTCCTGCACTATAACCCTGAGCCCCCCTCTCTACGCCCCACTACTCACCTGTACAGCACGGCTCCTGCACTATAACCCTGAGCCCCCCTCTCTACTCTCCACTACTCACCTGTACAGCACGGCTCCTGCACTATAACCCTGAGCCCCCCTCTCTACTCCACACTGCTCACCTGTACAGCACGGCTCCTGCACTATAACCCTGAGCCCCCCTCTCTACTCTCCACTACTCACCTGTACAGCACGGCTCCTGCACTATAACCCTGAGTCCCCCTCTCTACTCCCCACTCCTCACCTGTCCAGCACGGCTCCTGCACTATAACCCTGAGCCCCCCTCTCTAATCCCCACTACTCACCTGTGCTATAACCCTGAGCCCCCCTCTCTACTCTCCACTACTCACCTGTACAGCGCGGCTCCTGCACTATAACCCTGAGCCCCCCTCTCTAATCCCCACTACTCACCTGTACTATAACCCTGAGCCCCCCTCTCTACTCTCCACTACTCACCTGTACAGCGCGGCTCCTGCACTATAACCCTGAGCCCCCCTCTCTACTCCACACTGCTCACCTGTACAGCACGGCTCCTGCACTATAACCCTGAGCCCCCCTCTCTACTCCACACTGTTCACCTGTCCAGCACGGCTCCTGCACTATAACCCTGAGCCCCCCTCTCTACTCCCCACTGCTCACCTGTACAGCACGGCTCCTGCACTATAACCCTGAGCCCCCCTCTCCACTCTCCACTACTCACCTGTACAACACGGCTCCTGCACTATAACCCTGAGCCCCCCTCTCCACTCCCCACTCCTCACCTGTCCAGCACGGCTCCTGCACTATAACCCTGAGCCCTCCTCTCTACTCTCCACTACTCACCTGTACAACACGGCTCCTGCACTATAACCCTGAGCCCCCCTCTCTACTCCACACTGCTCACCTGTACAACACGGCTCCTGCACTATAACCCTGAGCCCCCCTCTCTACTCACCACTCCTCACCTGTCCAACACGGCTCCTGCACTATAACCCTGAGCCTCCCTCTCTACTCACCACTCCTCACCTGTCCAGCACGGCTCCTGCACTATAACCCTGAGCCCCCCTCTCTACTCCACACTGCTCACCTGTCCAGCGCGGCTCCTGCACTATAACCCTGAGCCCCCCTCTCTACTCACCACTCCTCACCTGTCCAGCACGGCTCCTGCACTATAACCCTGAGCCCCCCTCTCTACTCTCCACTACTCACCTGTACAGCGCGGCTCCTGCACTATAACCCTGAGCCCCCCTCTCTACTCTCCACTACTCACCTATGCAGCACGGCTCCTGCACTATAACCCTGGGCCCCCTCTCTACTCCCCACTACTCACCTGTGCAGCACGGCTCCTGCACTATAACCCTGAGCCCCCCTCTCTACTCCCCACTGCTCACCTGTACAGCGCGGCTCCTGCACTATAACCCTGAGCCCCCCTCTCTACTCCCCACTGCTCACCTGTACAGCGCGGCTCCTGCACTATAACCCTGAGCCCCCCTCTCTACTCCCCACTGCTCACCTGTGCAGCACGGCTCCTGCACTATAACCCTGAGCCCCCCTCTCTACTCCCCACTCCTCACCTGTCCAGCACGGCTCCTGCACTATAACCCTGAGCCCCCCTCTCTACTCTCCACTGCTCACCTGTACAGCGCGGCTCCTGCACTATAACCCTGAGCCCCCCTCTCTACTCCCCACTACTCACCTGTCCAGCGCGGCTCCTGCACTATAACCCTGAGCCCCCCTCTCTACTCCACACTGCTCACCTGTCCAGCGCGGCTCCTGCACAATAACCCTGAGCCCCCCTCTCTACTCATCACTCCTCACCTGTCCAGCACGGCTCCTGCACTATAACCCTGAGCCCCCCTCTCTACTCCCCACTGCTCACCTATGCAGCACGGCTCCTGCACTATAACCCTGAGCCCCCCTCTCTACTCCCCACTGCTCACCTGTACAGCGCGGCTCCTGCACTATAACCCTGAGCCCCCCTCTCTACTCCCCACTGCTCACCTGTGCAGCACGGCTCCTGCACTATAACCCTGAGCCCCCTCTCATCTGCTCTCCACTCATTTCATTAGTTACATTTAATTTATTAGGTATAGCCCTGTGATCCATGCGGCTCTTGACTGGGGTGCAACCGCAACAAACAAAAAACAAAAACATGAAACAAAAACATGAACAAGAAAACATCTTAAAGTGACAATGTGACTAAGTGCAAACAGAAAATCCAAGAAAAGACAGCAAAATATTGCAGAAAACCCACCCTACACCAACGTTGTGTGCAAAAATCCCAGTGGGATGCAAGTCAAACAACAACAACCACAAGACAACTTAGATTAAGGCCATCAGTCTTACTCCGTACTACAACAAACATGGCCAAACCAAAACGTTTTCGAAATCAGGAAAATAAAGCGCGCCTCCTGCACGAAATAAAACCCCGAGGCCCCCTCTCCTCCGCTGCAGAAACTCTATACCCCCCTCCACCTCCACCACCTCCCTTTACTCTCTCACACTCACCTGTAGAGGGTGGTCCTGCCCGTGAGCTCGTCGGCCCCGTCTCTCACGCCGTCTGCCACCAGGTAGTCGCGTCCGCCGAGCGCGACCACGCGGCCCCACAGCCGCACGCCGCTCAGCCGCATGCGCGACCCCGTCTCACGCAGCGACACGCGCAGCGCCGCCGCCTCCTCGGGGCTCAGCGTCAGCCCCGAGCTGGACACGTACTCCATGCACTGCTGCAGGTCCTCAGAGTCCATTGCGTTGTTGTTGTTGTTTTAATTGGGATGAGAACGACGGCGTTTGTTTGTTTGTTATGCGTTCGAATTGGGAGTTGCGAGTGGAGGTGGTCGTGGTGGTGGTGTCAGCGCCGTCGCTATGGTTACCGCGCGCGCCGGCGTTGCCGTTACCTTGGAGACCGCTTCCTTATATGGGCAGCAACCGGGTCCAAGGGTCACGGTCGTCGATGGGGTGATGTTATAATGTTTAAATTTCGATTTAAAGCTTTCGTGACTGCAGTGATTCATCTTCTTGGTTCTTTCGGTAAAGTCACGTAGAAGGGAAATAATAAAATAATAAAAATAAAATAATAAGATAATTCTCACGACGTTTCGGCCACAACGCAAGCAGCCGTCCTCAGGTGAATGTTTTTAAAGCAAAATTATTGTAGCGGTTTCTTTAAAACTTTTTTTTTACATATATAGAACTTCACTTGGTGTGTTTTAATAATATTGCATTGCAGCAACAACAACAAAGGTTGGTTTACCAAGCGATGTTACATAGATGTCAACCCATACGGTTTTACTCTGTATTCGTGTACGGCGAAATTGAGTTTTGCAGGTCCATACGGCGTGCAGCCGTTTCAATAGGGCAAAACATGTTTGTTTATTTGTTTGTATTTCTGCCTTGTTGATGGGTACTTTGTAGGACGAACGTTGAGATTTATAAGTGGCACGGGTGTGACCCAAATATAAGGTCTAAATTGGTCTGTAATATGATAGGGGCACCCATAAGGGGTTGACAGGTATAGTGAGTGCAGTGGTGAGTGTAATAGTGATGATTGTCTATTTCTTTGTGTTTCTCCCTTGTTTATGGGGACTTTGTAGGACCAACGTTGAGATTTAAAAGCGGCACGGTGGTGACCAAAAATGTCTGAATTGGTCTGTAATATCTTCTTGGTTCTTTCGGTAAAGTCACGTAGAAGGGAAATAATAAAATAAATAAAATAAACCATAAATAAATTATTTTATTATTTCCCTTCTACGTGACTTTACCGTAAGAACCAAGAAGATGAATCCCTGCAGTCACGAAAGCTTTAAATCGAAAAATGGTCTGTAATAATGTAGGCGGGTGACAGGTATGACGTCATATTGAGTGCCACTTACACGGACATGTTGGGTGGGGGTGGGAGACGCCCCCATAGACTTACGTTGGACGAGCCTTTGTCGCGTTGGAGATGACGTCACCGGCGATCTCGCCACAGGCTTACACGGTGCACTTGCCCCTACCCAAGATGGCGGTGACACGTGTCTTTTACTTCGTTAGACGATCGTACAGAAGCCGTGTTTTGAACCACAGGAAATGATTGCACAGCAAACGTGCAGCCTGTGAACTTGCTCGAGGTGAGTGGGACTCGCTGAAGTTTCGTGTAGATGCAAACAAGCGTGGCTTACTAACGCATGAACAGCGTTTAAAGAATGCAGCGACGGTACGGGGGGTGAAAGGTGACGTTCGCTGTGGTTGACGTGGCTGGGGTACAGCCTAATCCGATTACAAGTGGCGGCAACTGTACCTCGGATAATACTGGAATTGGTATGTTGTGTTCGCGAGATAATTAGCGAATATTTAAGCACTCTCGTCGGTCCAAGTTGGTGAAGGGTGAGCGGTGGGACCTGTTTTTGAGAGGCATCGCTACTCAGGTTAGCCGTGTGCGAGATTTCGATCTCAGGACGCCGGGTTCACAGCCACAGCTCCACAATAACTTGTATAAGGTGGGTACCGCGGTTAATAAGCAAGAGGTTATTTGCGATTAAAAAGGAATGAACGGTATTTGGAATTGTACGGGGAACATTCCGGTTATAAGGAAAGAGATCGCGGCTACAATGTGGGGGAGACACTCTTTGTAAGGGAGGTTAACTGTGGGTTTAAAATAATAGCATTCTAGAATCCTGACCGCCAATATATTTTATACGGTGGCACTCCCGATTAAGTAACACGTTTCACAATACTCTGCTTATACGTTTCAAGTTAATCCCTTATTAACGATTCCCAGAGGTTTTGGCTAACACTACAATATTGTATTGAACTAACGGACATGATGTCTAACTTTAAACAACACCTAGAACGCCGCTGCAGTGCTTCAAAACTGCGCTACATTACAGGTACAATACGGGTTTGCTCAACATCGTTATAATTGATAATTGGTTTTTTACCCTTCTATCTGGCAACAAAAGTGACACCTTTTTTACAAGGAGTCATGTTTGCATAGACCACAATACCTGCAGTCATAATGCAAACAAAAAACATAACTGATAATGTGCATTGTCCGTGATGTTGATTGGTCCACACCCGAGACAGCTTTCCTTAGAGCCTGGTCTCATGGGTTGGACCAGGCTCTATAGAAAGCTGTCTCGGGTGTGGACCAATCAACATCAAGAACAGTGCACATTATCAGAGGTATTGTGGTCTATGCAAACATGACTCCTTGTAAAAAATGTGTCAGTTTTGTTGCCAGATAGAAGGGTAAAAAACCAATCATCATATTTTTTACTGGCAAATGAGGTTCCAATGGTGTAAATCGTTATAATTGGCCACCATCAATCCACTGCTGGATGAGAGCCTCCCCAAGTCGTCGCCATCTCACGGTCCCATCATAGGCAAACATGGTAAAGGTACAGCCCTGCAATTGCTTGCTCATACCACTGCTACGACAGGGGCCCTCCACTAGATGGAGCTATAGATGCACCCCCTTGGTTCTCACTAGTTAGGGTCGTCCATAAATGACGTCACGTGATTTTTGACCCCCCCCACCCTCGTCACACGGCGTCACAAAAAGTCAGACCCCCCCTCAAATATGACGTCACAAAGCTCTACCCCCCCCCCCCCAACCATATTTACATTTTGAGAATAAAGCATTCTTCAAATCGCTTTAAACTATTGTCATTGTAGTGCGTATTTAATGTGGCGCTGCACTCTGATGTTGTAGGAGTGTTGTTATAACAATTACTGTTGTTATAACAATTCTATATTTATTTAAAGTTGCGCATTTTGATGTGACGTCACATTTCTCCAACCCCCCCCCCCCCTCGTCACACATCGTCACAATTGCCTGACACCCCCCAAGTGCGTGACGTCATTTATGGACGGCCCCTTAAAACATGATTTACCTTTAAAAAAAATCTGGCTGTCTCGCACCCCTAGAAAGGGCATCTCGCACCCACAGGCCATGCGTGCACCCCAGGTTAAGAACCACTGCTCTACATCATTGGTCAATGACAGGAGCTTCAATATGTACATAGATGTACAGCCTGTTTTGTCAATCCATTGTTGGATGAGGGTTTCCCCACGCCTTTGTGGGTCGTGGACAAGTTATTTGAGCATACTTCACGCTGGATATTACCGGTTGGTTAAGGGAGCATAGAAGTTAAATCATAGTATGCTACAATGTGTTTTGATGTACTGACCTCTGCTGGCTGCAAAGCATGTTAAACAGGTGAAATGCGTCTTAACTGTTAGTAAATAAGCTGTGAGTACATTTACCGACTTATTAAATTAATCTGCAAGTAGATTAAAGCGAATGCTAGCGTTTGTTATTTTTTTTGCAGTCTGGGATTGCAATGCGTTCGATCTCCTGCCGCGGCAGCTGAAACTGTGAGCTAGTTTATTAAATCCCCCCGTCGTTGACCACCCAAAAGTATAAATGGGTACACCACAGTCGATCAGCAAGTCTTGTGTGATAGGGTAAATTGTAGGCACTTCCAATTATCCCAAGACGTTTGGCCAGCATGGAATAGGAAGCCAAAATTCTCTCAAGATGGCCTCAGTTGTGGCCTTTAGTGGAGGATTTTCTGCCAGCAATGACATGAGCTCATAAATGCACCTTGACGTATCTATGAATGAAACACCACCCAACGCATTCTTCATCATTATTTTTTTTATCAGTGTATCACCCTGTACAGGAGTTACTTATTCACATTCCTCGGGGTATGCTTATCACGGGAGTGGATTGTGTCATTCAGGTGCCACAACAATCATTGCCTGCGCCCTTCCCATGAGGAAGAAACCCCAAGAGAACGGAACTTCGATGTGGAGACTTGGGACCATGGTGCGGTACAAGCTGAGCCATCCTTACACGTGTGTAACACGCGTGTAACGCGTGTGTTTGTGTCTGTGCACAGGGCCCGCGTTGTTTTAGGGGCCCCTTAACATTCTTTTTAGCCTATGACCAAATCACCCAGAACGCGCACGATCTTGTCAGTCCTCGGAAGCTAAAGCAGTGTTGACTACCACGCATAAAACAGGTGCTGCAAGGCTATGGAAAGAGCAGAGGTCGCAACCGGGTACCCGATACCCGTACCCTACCCGATACCCGGCTACCCGTACCCGGCCAGGTACGGGTACCCGTTTACGACCCTGGTGCGGCCGGGTACGGGTAGGCCGTGAGTCACTGGTGAGTAACCGTTTGTCACTCATTTCGGGTAGGGTACGGGTACGGGTAGGGAACGGATACCCGTACCCGGCCGGGTACGGGTACGGGTACCCATTTGCGACCTTGGTGCGGCCGGGTACGGGTAAGGAATCAAATCCGTTTGCGACCTCTGGGAAAGAGATACAAAGAGGAAGTTGCACATATACAGTAATTGTGTCAATCCACTGCTACATGGTGGCCTTTACGCCATGTGAGTCGTGTTGGCTATTTGGTCAGTGTGGGTTTTGTGAAGGCAGGGAGCATAGACGTAGGCCCATACAATTATAGAACAATAGATTGTCCTGCAATTACCCTCTGCTGGCCACCATGTAACCCTACAGCCACCTATGACAACCTGTACATCATGATCGCCCATCAAAGCACTATCCAGACTCAACCGTGCTTAGCTTCTGAAAGCTGACAGGATTGGGTGCATTTCAGTGATTTTGTCATAGATACAGAAATGTTATATTCAGTTCATAATAATGGTACTTAAATTGGCTAAATGTTCCAGTATAGTACCTAACATAAAAATAAGATAAAGAACATCTTTATCACGCCAAAATGATGTCACATTACCACTGCATAATGACATCCAAAATGTACACCATGTTAGCTAGCTTCACATCTGGAAGAAATAAATGAACACATTTCCATGCCCATTTGCCCTGTTGTTTGTGACGGAGACACGTTTTTTTACAAAGTCAAATGAAAATGCGCACACGTCAAGACGTGAATCTGCCACTATATTTTTACCAACACATTTTTAACTGTTCCTCGTGACTTAATAAATGTGTTTGTAAATCACATGCAATAATTCAGTATGAAGTCTCATAAGCCATTCAGGATCGCTTGGCATTGTCACTTTATAGTTTCATATATGTACATTGTTTATTTGGTGCAGTCAGATACCTTTTGCACTTTGATGTCACGTAAAACCACAAAGTTCATTACATTCAACACCAGGCCACACCTTGGTCATAAGATTCATCAGCAGCCATAATCTATCGTTTGCTGCATGAATTCCTCCCAAAGTCGTAGCCATTCTCCAATCATGCTATGAAAATCCGTTTTCATCGCATGGGTGACTCATCAACTGATATTTATTTTTAAAATACAATTTCAGTGTGGCTTTTTAAAACTTATGGATGTTTTGATACTTTGTTAAATTCGTTTTTATGACATTATTTGGATGCTTGTATCAATCTAGAGGCCAACAAACCGCATGAGTTATTTGGATCCAGAAAGTTTTTTTTTTATCATTGACCACATGCAAACTTTCAAAACCACCTGAAGACGGAAGCTTGTGTTGCTTCCGAAACGTCGTGATTTTTATTTTATTTAAATTTTTTATGAATTTTTTTTTTTACCTACGTGACTTTACCAAAAAAACCTAAGAATATGAATCCTTGCAGTCACGAAAGCTTCAAATCTAGAATTTTCAAATTGGATTCAGAAAAAGAGAAATAAATATCCAATGCGATTCTGTCTGCACTTTGTAAACTATGGCGAGGCATTTATTTAGTGTAAACCGATGCAGTCATGAGATTGAGCATACCAAGCATTCCTAAACACTGACTGTCATTTACGTCACCTCTTCCATCTTGGTACGAATTGGTACTACTTTTCACCTCCCTTTGATGGCTTTTAAAATGACACGGCAGAGAATAATTATTTTAATAACATGCTTTAAATAACAGCGTGTTGCCACTCTTGAGGATTCAGGGGATTGTAAATATTCCTTCATCAGCAGTACTTTGTGGCCCCCCGATTTCCTGAGGCTGTTTGAATGTTTACATTCAATGTTTTACAACAAAATCCAAAAATGCCTTGAGGGCCCACACCTAGGTTACCTTACAGTGTAAATAAAGGCACGTAAGCAAGCAGGGCATCGTGAATATCTGTGCTATTAAATGTAATGAAACTTTTCAAATCAACTTTTACAAAGGCAACTTGTAATTGATTCTTAAATATGTTATTGTTTTAATATTAGGTAAGTAACACTTCTTTTGTGCTCTCCAGTTGCCTGGGTGAAAAGTGGGCTCGGTTTCTCCCAATCCTGGCCAGCTGACTCAAAAACTTAATGAATGAAATTAAATTAAGCCAGGAGAGATTGGTGTTGTTAAAAGCTTCTTGATGTAAATAATAACGATAATACAAATTTATACTAATGTACATCCCTTTGTCAATTTACTGCTGTATGAAGGCATCCCCATTCCATGTCGGTCATGGGAGTTCTTCAAATTCGCTCGAACCGAGCGAATTTGGTTTAATTCCCCTCCACAGTTTACCATCGGTGGCAAGCTTTAACTGAACCGGTCCTGGGCCCATCCCTCCACCAACCTGCACTGACCAACATGGTGGAGCATGATCATACAACCCCCACAATAAATATCACAGTGTGGAAAGGCCTTCAGGTTGTGGATTTACAAAAGACAGTTTTTTTATTTTGTTAATCCTATACATTCCTTATATTTTCTTGGTCATCACGTGGTTCAGGTAACACGTGCAAAAACATAGTGCGTTCAAATAAGTATTTAGGCTTGAGTGGGATACTTTTTTCGGGGAGGGGAGTGGGGAGGGGGTGTTATGGCTGATGGATACGATTAGTGATGGACCACCAGCTCAAGGAGGGGATGTGCCGAAGAGGGATTTGACCACAGAGGTTTGCTCATGGGCTGGAATGAGATGGATCGTAACATAATAGGATCATGTGAGATGTGACAACATGGGGACTCCTTCATATAGCAGTTGATGATGGCTGATGATGAATTATATTTAACAAATAATTCGTTGATGCAGTATTGGCAGTGGTGCACAAGCACAAATAACAAACATATCTACAAATTTGTAAATAACACTGCCTTAAAAGGAAAAGTAGATAATAAGCAATGTTTCAGGAAATGGTCGGTCCTTCTTAGTAGCATATCAAATGGTAAAGAGAAAAAGTTAACACATTCACCTCAAAAACCTTTACTGCAACTGTCTGAAAGGGTAACTACAGAACCTTGGTGATCGAGATGTATTCTTGAAGTTGTGTTGGAAAAATCAGTTTCCATAGATGTGTGGGTTTTATGCCATAGGGGCTTTCTGTGAAATGAAAACAAACCACATCTTAACTCTAAACATCCTTTATTGCTTTGTCACCTGAGATTAAAATGTCTTGGGCCATTGTTCAGGACAGAAACTGCAATGCGACCGAACCAGAACATTGAGCTCAAGCATTCATGCGTGTCTTGACGCACACTTAAACATCTACCCGTGCTCTAGGCAGGTGGGGGGATAGGGAAGTCGTCTTTTTCGCTTTGCGTCATCACTCCTCATTTGACGTCACGACTACTCACCTTACGCAAACACCGCGATTAAACAGCAAATACCACACCCACCAACTCCAAAGTGGAACGTGGGTTTGAGACCAGACACTCCCCCTGCTACGCATTTACACGTATGTGTGCGTGCGTGCGCATGCCTACCTCTTATAAAGCCACCGAACAGCATCGACACTTCTGTGATTTTGTAGAGGTGTGTTGGAGGGCACTGCTACTCTTTGCGCTTTACGCAGTCTCCACAAGTCAGCTGGTGCTCTTTTTAAGAAAACGATAGTAAATATAGTGGCAGCGGATACTTAAGACGAGAGTGAGGGTGAAATAAGGAAGCTTAACGTGAAATATTACGTTTTTCTCATCTTTATAAATTAACTCTTGAGGCGACCTTCATTTTCAACCCACTGCGCATTAGTTAACTCGCCCATACGTCCGTCTAAATTCCTTCTACCGCGTGCCCTCCAATTGTATTAACTCACGTCTTGTACTTGTTCGACCATGCGCTTGGCCTGCAGACGGTGCAGCAACAGCTGCATCACCATCAACAGTGATCACAGTAGCAGCAACAATAACTTCGCGAGCAGAAGAAACAGCGGTCTAGGCAGCAGCTGCAGCAGCACCCGCAGTGAGAACGGCGCCATGCACGACCCGGACATCTCGCTGATGCTGGTGGCTCCGAGCGCCGCGTGCATGCCCTTGGAGAGCGTGCGCGTCGAGCTGTCGACCCGCTACTGCCGCGCCGTGCTGCCCGAACACGAGCCACGTGTTTCCGAGATCTGGCAGGCGCGCATGCGGCACCAGCCGTGGCTCTACAACGGCTCCAAGTTCCGACTGCACTCGGCCGAGATGGAGGCAGACGGCACGCTGCGCGTGCGGCTCGGCCTCACCTGCTACCGTGACTTCCTCGGAACCAACTGGGCAGCCGAAGCCCGGCGCCTGCAGGAGCACGGCGAGCGAGACGCCGGCAGCAGCCAGGCCTACCTGGCCGAGCCGCTGGGCGTGGGCGCTGTGCTCGTGACAGCCGATGGGCAAGGCGTCTTCCTGCGTCGCAGCCACATGGTGGGAGAGGCGGCCGGCCAGATCGACATACCCGGCGGACACCCTGAGCCCAAGGTACAGCGGTGACGTCTGTAGCAGTAGTGTAGCGTGGTTGGTATGGTGTGGTGGTATGGGCAACCGCAGCTGCCTCGACCGCTGTTTTTTCCTGCACCTCCGGTTAGTATGGTTGGCTACGTACTGTGCGAAAGAAGTTCAGCATAGACACATACTATTGGTGTGGTTAGTATGAGGGATGAGTGATATGGTGTTGTTGGCATGGGCCACAAGTGATGTGGCGTGGTTGGCATGGGTCCTGATGTGAGGAATAAAATGAAGCCCCATTTCCAATTTTCCTTCCGGCACTAAAATCTGCAATATGCAGTCTTTTTTAAGCCCTTACCCTGACCTGAATAGCGGGCAGAAACATTTAATAGAGTGATTGGCTGCTTTCATTAACCGTTAGAGAAACCTCTTGAAGGAGTCACAATATTTTTCATATCATCAACATCATATTGCTGTTGGTCGATTGGAAGATGCTTGTCTTCAACATCATCAGACGACTGTCGATGTATTTTGAATGTGTATTATTCGAATCAGCATAGTGCGACTGTATTTAAAACTCAAAATTATGCTTTTAACGCGAGCACCAAACGCAGTATCAGGTTGAGCAGCTGTGGTGATCAGCCGATACCATCACCACTGCTTTCGCCAATAATCATGAAAACACAATGATGTGTGTACGCATGTGTGTGCAGGCAGTGGCACCGGGCGGGGACGATGAGCGACTGCGCCCTGAAGACCTACAGCCCGAGCTGGTGGCACGGGAACTCTACGACTCCATCTTGGCCGAGATTCGCGATGAGGTACTTGTTTAAAAAAAAAATGTACTCAAGTTTTGTTTTGTTTAATCAGATGACAATTCAAGAGACCAGGATAGTCTCACTTTGCAAGAGTGACCTTGGTCACCAAAAGTACAAAAGAAAAACAAATTAAATCAAGCGCAGGAATCAAGCAGATAGAAATAAGAGGAAAAATAACTGTTACACGAGAAATTGACAATATTGCACCAATATAAATCAACGTTAAAGAATAAATTTCCTTCAGCATAAGTTGGCTCGGGTAGACTCTTTTAGCAGGATTATGGTACCTTCACAAAATACAGTTACGGAAAAAAAATATAGAGTGGCTATTGCATACCTGTCAACCCCTTATTAGTGCCTACCTTATAACAGACCAATTCAGACCTTATTGGTGATCCCGTGCCCTTATAAATCTCAACGTTCATTTTATAAAGTCCCATCACAAGGGAGAAACACAAACAAATAGACAAAAACATTTGTTTCCTGTATTGAAACGGCGTATGCCATATGGACCTGAAAACTCTATTTCCCTGTACAAGAATATGGGTAAATCGTATGGATTGACATGTATACTATTGTACAAAGATGTATATAGGCATACAGCATATTCTACACGTATACAGTCTGTGTTCGATATACCGGGTAAATTCGTGGTTGGGGTGCCCCAGTATTGCATCTGTTTTCTGAACGAAAGCCCACTATTTCGCATGAAGTAAAAATGTTGCCCATTTACAAATTTTATGTAATTTTTTTAGCATTCTGTATTGAAAAATTATAATAACAAAAATAATAAGTTTCCATCACTTACCCAGTGCCACCAAGTGGAAATGAATGCCATCCAAGTGTTTGTTTGAGCATGTAGATCTATTATATTTGTCAACATCCATATCAAGTGCAGGGTTTGGATTTTATCGTCAATTACAGCTTAGGCAATCAGTCTTCATTTGTGTTGAAAAACAAAGGAAAAGACGTATCGCTTTCTACAGTTGTACGGTCAGCTGAGCATTGCATTACAATGCCTGTGAACAGCCTCGGAAAATATCACCATATGTGACGTCAGTACTCTTTGTATTAGGTGTTAGACCCACCCAACGGAAAACTATTTGGACTATCTTTTGTCTGAATGCTTGACACAGTTAGCAAACATCCTTGTCACGTACAAGCCAAATTCTTTTGCGGTGAATGGTCATTTTTTTTTCATTGGTCGAAATTTATGTAAATATCCTTGCAACTTAACACGTAGCCTTTCGCGACCAATATTATTCATAATAAAGGTTTTTGGATTAGATCGCGTAAGTATAAATGAGTCATAACCCTCCACCACCAGACACAGCCAATTAGAAAGGGATTTGTCACGTAAACAATTTGCCCGATGATGCTGGATGTAATTACTAGCGAAACGTCGTACTCAAATTGTAAATGTTGTGGATTTACTCTCCAACACACTGGTGGACTGAAGTTTTACTAATTGGCGTTTTGTTTACGTGACAAATCCCTTGTTGGCTGTGTCGGGTGTGGAGGGTTAAGACGCATTTATAATTACGCGATGTAACCCAAAAATCTTTATTATGGATCCTTGAAACTGTAAAAAATTATGCAATCCTCCACGCGTCTGTAATCTGGCCTCAAGATAATAGCATACAATGTTATACATTAACAAAATAGAGGTGTATATTCTATGGTTCTTTCGGTAAAATCACGTGGATAGAAAAATAATAACAAAGTAACAAAATTTTGTATAAAAATATGATTTTATTGTTATTATTTTTCTACCTACGTGACGACTTTACCGAAAGAACCATAGAATATGAGTTCCTGCAGTCACGAACGTTTTAAGTAAAAATTTAATAGAGGTGTACTGATGCATATATTTGTCAATTAGCATCTAATTGCATATTTAATAATTAATCAGTGTTTTTTTCCATTATTATATGTTTTATGCAATGGGTTAATGTCAACAGCGCAGAAAAACCACAATGTTAAAATATTCCCCAATCGAATTGCCACACTTAATCAGGAACAATCAAATCGCGTGACTGATTGAAGGCTTTTATGATAGTTGCTCTACTGTCTCTTTGTAAACTTAATTACCTGTAATTTTGACTTTTGGCTGCACAACTGACTGCACGCAATTTCTCTACATGGAGGAATCACCACCAGCACCACTACCACCCACCACCAGCGCCTCCCCACCCCACCATCTCCCACCAGCGTCACCAACGCTACCTTGACCGCCACAACCACCAGCACCGCCTTCACTCTGAGCACCACCGCCCTCCCAGGTCTCCTGACGTGACCCTAATTTTGCACTCTTACCTCTGCAGGTGAACCTACCGCTCACGTGCCTGAGTCCCCCCCTGCTCATGGGAATCGCGCGCAACAACACGAGCGCCGGCCGGCCTAGCGCTGAGTTCTACGTGCGCTGCAGCCTCAACTCGGAGGAAGTGCGGGCGCTCTACCTGCAGGGAGGGACCCGAGGCTCAAGAGTCGACCAACATCGTCTTCATCCCCAGAGAGGTACAGTCCCAACGCTGGGCACGAGAGGTGCCGCTTAATGTCGTACGATTGGTTGCGCACTAGAAGTGGAAGGAATACAAGGTAATCGTTAGTGTAGCCTGCTTTTGAAAGTGTGGCTTCTGATTAAAATAGGCCTGCGAAGGTCATAGTGGTGAATTTTACAACCCTAAAAAAACTGTTCATTGCTCGCATTCTTCAAAAATGTTTCTCCTTCGCAGAATTAGTTGAATCATAAGGCGTACTTTCACACTTTTTGTTACTTTCACCTTTTATAGGTTAGGTGTAATGGACTGTGCGGTCTACGTCTTATTCACCACTGATCTAAGCAACTCGCTAGCCAAGTCACTGCTCTAATAGTCAAGCTAGTCAACTAACCTTGTATTACCAAATCTAAAGCCTCACGAACCATCTGCTGTATCAACAACCACCTCGCCCACACTGGATATTTTCCGTATCACTGGTAGACTGTAGTTAGGCGCTTTACTAGTATCCACATTCATAGAGAAATGTATACCAGCGTGGTGGTGTGGTGGGTGTGGAAATATCTTTCGGATCGACCACCCATACATACCTGACTGAAATTATGCCCAGTTTGTTCATATGTTTAGGTAAATCTGGATATATGCACCAAACAAGCGCACATCTGCCTAGCTGCAAACAAAGTGAATTAGCAGATAATACGCCTCCTTCCCATATCTGTCCCTCCACATACAAAATAAAAGTTTTTTTTCCCCACATAGCATCAGCCACACGGACTTCTGGTAGTGCGTAATTTCAGCAGCATTGGTTCAGCACTCACAAACTGTAAACCGGTTTTAACTGTGTTCTCATCAGCAAAGGCGTATTGACCGGCCGTGTGTTGATGGTTTCCTTGCAGTGTCTGTCAACTCTGGAGCGAGACTCATCCGTGTGGGGCGAACTATGCCCCTCGGCTAAGGGAGGTGTGCGTCTCTTCTCGCTGCTGGGACCGAACCTTGGAGATGATCGGCCGTGGAGGGAAGGAGTTGAACTCGCAGGAGGGAACACCAATGGCACATCGTGAGCCCAGCTCACTTCTGTGCAGTGACAATGCTCAATTACGGCCACCACCGTGATTGTGTTATTATTATAATTACATTTACCAGGGCTTAAATATCTCATGGAATATTTACCTGGTTGCTGGGAGACTGGAGTAGGCACGGGACTAGTAGTAGCCACAGCCATCGCGAGAGGTATACGAGATGCGCTGTGCCAACTGCGGAATTACTTTTGGAATCACCGACCCGGACAGAGGTGAAATTATGTCCTGATTATAATTGCTACTGTGTTTTGCACTCAAATGAAAGTGTTTTTAAGGATGGTTTTACTGCATGCACAGACTAGAAGGTTGAAAAAGCACCACCAACTGAATGGGATGTTGGCACAATGACAAAAACTCATTGCACTTTAGTCAGACAATCCGAATATTTAATGTTTGGAAGACAGTGATTGACAATATTTACTTCTAAATGTCATATTACTAAGCCTCTCTCTGTGGATATATGTATTTCCTGAAGGTTAGTCAGCCAAAAAGTTTACATCTCTTATTCCTCTCAGTGACATTTGAATGAAAACCACTGAATTGTTTTTTTATTTACCTGTTATGTTATCTGTGAATTCACTTGAAAATTTAAAACGAACCACGATGAATAAGCAATGTATAAGTCATCCTTACCATGCGCTTGACCTGACGTGATCGCTAATTTCTGCCGGAAGAACCAGTGCCGCCGAACGGACCAGTGTTGTCGACTGCACGCTGATGATTTTTCTGAACGGTTTTTAGCAGAGGGCAATTCAGCAAAATAATTTGATATACTGTACTATGCTCCAATGTCTATGCTCCCCACCTTCACCACCCCGCACTGTCCAGCATGGTGAAGTCATGTTGAAATAACTTTCACAACCTGAGTGGCATGGGGAGGTCCTAATCCAGCAGTGGATTGACATAAGGACTGTACATGTACATACAATGTTGCCGTCAGTGGCTCTTCTCAAGAGCAGTGAAGGGGATGTTTCAGTCTGTGTTTCGATGTCACTGCCAGCAGATCCCTCCGTTTTATTTTGAGGCTCCTATTGGTGTCAACCAGCACGGTGAGGTATGGTCAAATTACCTCCCCATGACCGACACGGCAGTGTATTGACTAAGGTGTCCCCGTCGGTGTGAAGCTGTTTTATTGAGGAGGCATTAACTGGGATGTCATCCCACCACTAGCTACGGATCCATAACAGGGTCAATTATTGTCCCATGCGTTAATCTGCAACGTTAAAATGATCGCGGACTTGTAAATACACTCGATTCCTTCAACATGATATCATGTTCAAGCGTTATGGGACTGCAAGTTTGGCACTGTGTGGGGAATAAATTGGTGTTTACTGCAGTATACACATGCACCCACACAGAAGCACATTTACAATTGTATACGTTGACATATACACACTTAGTTTGGGGGGTGGGGATACTTCATTGTTTACAATGAGTTGTGCAGGTTTGTATTTAGATGTTACGATACAAAATTGCATTGATTGAAAAGAAAATATCAGCTTGATTTGAAGATTTCGTGACTGCAGGAATTACTCTTTGGTTCTTTCGGTAAAGTCACGTAGAAAGAAAAGAAATTAAATAATAGAATACACACAGACACACAAGCAGAGTCTCTGTGTTGTCTCTCTCTGTATCTCCGTGTCTGTGTTTTGTCTCTCAAATTTAGCAATCTTTGGAACAACGTAATCAACCAGGTAGGGTGTTGACTGTTGTGTTAGCCGACTCCCTGTGTTGTATTGCATTGTATTTCTAAGTTCACTAGGTTTATTTTCTACCTGATGACGATTGCTTGTGTTGCAATCGAAACGTCGTATTATATTACATTTATTTTCTTTCTACGTGGCTTTACCGAAAGAACCAAATAGCAAATATCAGCTGTTTTCATTAGGTATGTAATGCATAATGTTATTAGATGAACGTTCATGATTCAGGGTTGCATTTCGATCCAAGAATGTATTGAAGTCTTACAGACTCATTTTTCTTGCTGCCTGTTTTGTGTTGTATTTTTGTTTGCTCCATTAGCCTCAATGCAAAATGACCATTATAATTTTAACTTCATATACATTTAAAATATTTGACGATTAATGTATCATGAGGGTACGAATACATATGAATCGATCATTGCACCTCTGAAAAAGTAGACAAAGGACCAGTAGCGTCACTGTCGAGTGTGCAGGCGGTGCGACTGCACTGGTGTCCGTGGGAAGGATAATCCGAGGTGCTGGACGACAAAGTGGAGGGGGTGGGAAATTGGACCATGATCCAATATTCCGTGCACCAGGATACAAGTCAACCACGCTACTCCTCTCCCAAGAACCTTATGCATAATTACATTCCTAGTTGTTTTTTTTATCATGCATTAATAGTTCTCTTTCAGCCAACTTGTAATGTCCTGTTATGAAATTCAGTCTGTATGCACGAACGCTGCAAACAACCGCTAGTTTTAACAGCAGTGCCCTCTGTTGTCTCCGACAATAAACACATGCGTTTTTAGTTTTTTATATGAATGTAACAAATTATATGGAAGAAAAAGCATGCACGTGCATGGGTTCTATCACACTTTCCAACATGCGCTTGTCCTGGGAAGTGTTTTGATGAACGACGTTACGTTACAAGCAACATGAGATGATATCGTATTTCATTACTTCATCTGGAGGGGAGGCATGGCACACGCATCACACGAGACAATCGCTTTGGCCGGCAAAGATAATAATTTCAGGACTGTATTTTATCGCAAAGGCAACCGTTTGATCGATCTTGGCCAGTTTTCTCAAGGGGTAAGTCCGTTAGAGCAGCACAACTTTATACAATAAATGAGTTCAGGTTGGGTCATCTTTACAAAATGGAGATATGAATGCCTGGAATTACACCGATGGACGGAAAAAAGAACACGTGATTCAGAGAGTTAGAAACATTATTCAGAGTTAGAAACGTTATTTTGACTTAAGAAAGGTGTAAGGCCTGGATGTGTTGCTGGAAGGGAAGATCACTGGTGGTTGAGGCTAATGGGAGTGGCAAAGGAGAGAATTTCCAAAAGGACGTCCATCGCAGAAGTGGATTCAATCGGCTCATGTTCAGGGTTTGGATGGATTGTTGCATCGCAGGCCCATGGGAGACGGCCTCAGCTCGACGAGACCTTCATCCAGCAGTGGATTGACCACGGATGATGATCATTACGAGCGGGGCTTAATTTCTCGTGTAATATTTTCTAGGGCCCCTCAACCCCCGGCTCTCCAACAATGGATATCACCCCCCCCCCCCCCCCCCCGAACACACAAAAAAATAGAATGGGTATTTATTTGATTACGTTTGTTGAACCAGCAAAGTCTCGCCGAGTATCACGCCAAATTTCACAGTATGGGGGGGCAATTAATTCCACGTAACATTTGGCAAATCTGGACCAGAACTCCGGCACGTAATGGCCTCCTCCTGTGGATTACGTGACGGGATTTATGAGAACGGCTCGTAGCAAATGGTTTCCATATTTTTACTGTTTATTCAATCCGTGGTATTAATCGGGGCGGCCGCTGGTAATGAACCGTGCACATCTGCAACAACAAACGGCAAACGCGCGACCGCTGGGCCAATGCCACCGCCGCAAGCCACTGAAGGTGAAATTGTCTGAATTATCAGCCCTCCTCGCTTACTGCACGTGCAAGTGGTGGCGTGGGTTGGGAGCGGTGGTGCAGTGGTTAGCGCTACGCTACGTCATGAACCCGGCCATCCAGGTTCGACCAACACCAGGTGACGATGGTCTGAACCGGTCCTGGGCCTCCCCTAGGTAGACTCAGCCTCAAATTAGTACCTGGTGCGGTGTGTAAACATCGCCACTGGGGAGACAACCCCCCCACCAACCCCAACCAACCCCCTCCAACCCCCCCCACCTACCCCCTCCAACCCCCCCACCAACCCCCTCCAACCCCCCCCCACCAACCCCCTCCACCAACCCACCTCCAACCCCCCCACCAACCCACCTCCAACCCCCCACCAACCCCCTCCACCCCCCCCACCAACCCCCTCCACCCCCCCACCAACCCACCTCCACCCCCCCACCAACCCCCTCCACCCCCCCACCAACCCCCTCCAACCCCCCACCCAACCCCCCTCCAACCCCCCCCCAACCCACCCCCAACCCCCCACCAACCCCTCCACCACCCCTCCCCCACCACCCCCCCACCAACCACCACCCACCCCCCCACCAACCCCCTCCAACCCCCCACCACCCCCCTCCACCCCCACCTACCCCCTCCCACCCCCCACCACCCCCTCCACCCCACCCACCACCCCCAACCTACCCCCTCCAACCCACCCCACCAACCCCCTCCAACCCCCCACCAACCCCCTCCCACCTACCCCCTCCAACCCACCCCACCAACCCCCTCCAACCCCCCACCAACCCCCTCCACCCCCCCACCAACCCACCTTCAACCCCCTCCACCCCCCACCAACCCCCTCCACCCCCCCCTCCAACCCCGCCCTTCCCGACCAAGTCTCGCGCCGCCAAGTCTCGCGAGATTCACTTCCGTCCGCGAGACTCGAGCACAGAGACGGGGGTTGACGGGTTTTCCCCCGCAATCGTTCCCGCTTCTGTTGCGCGTCGAAGCACAATAACCTTCGTCAATATCAAGATATAACACACACACACGAAACCCACAGCGGACAAACGGAGTTCGAGCTAGCTACAAGAGTAACCGGTGGTTGTTTTTTTAAATTAAATAACCTTCAAAGATGTCGCAGAAGCAAGACGCGGATCAGTTTTTCGACGGGCGCCATTATAGCGGTGAGTCAGGCGAGGCCTGCCGAAGGCCTCCGCAATCACCTTCCTCAACTCGTGTCAACCTTGGTCGATCCCCTGCTGGATGATCGCATCTCCCTTCCCCCTTACACAAGTCACACCGCCGTCCCTCGCGGCTTAACATTACGCGTCGGCACCTGCCCACGATGGTGATTCCACGGCTCCCGTGATTGTTTTGCGTGCGCGTTCTTGGCCCTTCTCCGCCTCGCTTTGGCTGTTGCTCTGTCGTTAATTCTTAACCAACGATCATCATCGTCCCCTCCCAACAGACATCGTCGTGTTATGTACCCGTGTTGGTCGAGTAATCGACGTGCCTCCTATATGCGGTGGCGAGATATGAGCAAATGTGACCCCCCCACCCCATGACCCACACGGCGTGGGAAAGCCCTCATCCAGCAGTGGATTTCTAAAAGAGCTGTACATGTATTGCATATTGGAGCACCTGCGATGTTCTTATAATATAAAGCCATCTAGAGCCCTCTCTAACGGACGCTCTTAGCCGTCGTGGGGCTTTACATTAATAGCTACACAATTACAACTGTGTAGGGTGGCAGGGTGTCAAGATGTTATCTCCCTCGCCTGGTATACGGGAGGGAGGTCGTGTGTTCGACCCCGACGACTGTAAATTTTGAATTTGTCTGGCTCTACATACCTGCAGTCGTGTGGATTATTCTCCGGACCCTCCGGTTCTTTTTCCCCTCCACATTTAGAAACACGCTTTTCGAGCATTTGTCTGCTATACTTTTCCACGTGATAAGCCACTTAGTCGGACAATCATTTGTGGTCAGGTCGCTTTTGAAAAAAAGCTATAATAGCTCAGTGGGTCTTACCTGGTAAAGTACAAATATTTTAATTAATTTCATCCCATGCACGCACATCTTATGCAACCAATATCTAACAAACTCCAAACTGTCATTCTTAACATATAATCCTTGGCACTCTTCCACTCTGAACACTATCAGCTTGGCAGCAGTGGTCGTTAGGATTAACGATTGATTGTATAAAGATATAAAACCATTTACAGACCTTTGCATTGTTGAACTTATTTCGCACCATACATAGCCAACCTTGTAATCGGAGGTACGGGACTCGGAGGTGCTAGAAGGCCTCCCTCCCAGGCCGTGACAATCGTGGGGTTGTTAGCCATACCACCATTGGAACCTCCTTTGCCAGCAGCAAAATATGATAATTCGTTTTTACCCTTTTATCTGGCAACAAAACTGACACCTTTATTTTTTACAAGGAGTCATGTTTGCATTGACCACAATACCTGCGGTGTGAATGCAAACAAAAACACAACTGATGATGTATGTATACTCTTAGTTCTTTCGGTAAAGTCACGTAGGTAAAAAAATGCAATTAAAATTTATAAAAATAAAACAATAAAAAACAAAAAATCACGACATTTCGGAGGCAACACACAAGTCTCCGTCATCAGGTGGGACCGTCACAGCCAGATTTGCTGCATCAAGTGAAGCAAGGATTCAAGATGTAAGCTTACATCTTGAATCCTTGCTTCACTTGATGCAGCAAGGATGCAGCAAATCTGGCTGTGACGGTCCCACCTGATGACGGAAACGTCGTGATTTTTATTTTTTTATTTTATTTTTATTAATTTCATTTTTTTACCTATGTGACTTTACCGAAAGAACTAAGAGTATGAATCCTTACAGTCACGAAAGCTTCAAATCTGATGATGTATGCACTGTCCTTGAAATTGATTGGTTGTTAGCCATACTTCACTCTCGGTGTGGATTGGTGGAGGGATGATAGATCTAGAACCGGTTTATATATCAATTGACACATGTTAGTCGTGGTGACTAGGAAACTAACTTAGCCAGATTCACAGCTCGGTTCGCTGACCACTTCAATAGCATTATCTTGTGCGCTAGAGTATTGTTTTAGATCTGCATTCTCAACCACTGAATGAACTCTTTGGCGTCCCATTCCTCCACTTTCCCATTCTGTGTGCACAGAACATGACGATCGCACGGGGTCTCAGGCTGTGGACCGGAGGAACAGGGGTCGAGGCCCTAGACTCTACATGGATGGGAGGTCGTCGGGGTCCCCTGCACGCTCTAGCGGTGGAGGAAGCAGCAGTGGCGGTGGTGGTGGTGGTGGCGGCGGCGGTGGTGGTGGCGGCGGCAGAAGAAGTGGACATGGATACTTTAGGGGAAATCGGAAAGGGAGGAATAACGGAGGCGGAGGCGGCGGCGGTGGTGGCAGTGGTGGCGGCGGCGGCGGCGGCAGGGGAGGTGGAGGTGGAAGAATAGGTGGCGCAAACCCCCGCTCCCATCTGAATGACGATGATGACGTGGACATGTGGGAAGATATTCCAACTTCACGGGCACGATTGTACGTATTATTCCAAGTGCACACATATGTGTGAGAAGTGGTCTGAAGAGTGGTGGCGTAGTGGTTGGCACACTGCACGATGATCCATTTGAAATGAGTTGTTTTCCTGGTTATGGCGAGTGATATTTAAACAATTCTAGCCTATAATTGGGCCTAATGCCAGCTCAGGAAAAAGTGCATATGTGCTTCCTCGTGACTGATTGCTGACCGCAGCGTGCTGTAATTTTCTGTGTGTTTTTTGTCGCGCACTCGGCTTGGCGTCACCAGCACACCGTACTCGACCAATCCCAATCGGTGGCGGCAGCAGCAGCGGACAGACCACCGGCGCTCGGCCGTTGAGGTCACTTTCCGTCCCGATTCGACGGGGTACGGAGGGCGACCGTCACACAGCACAAGCGGAGGCCACAGGGAGCGGTCGTTGTGGTACAAGATTACGGTAAGTGCAGCAAGTGCCCAGGCACGTGGAGATGGACCATCTGGGACAACAGGGTTTTGAGAATGAGATGCTGATTGTAAGAGTCGACAGTTGCACCAATAGGATTTTCATGACATGTTTATTTGGGTTTTAATTATGTTCCAGAACTCCCACAACAGTAATTACCAAAAT